CCCCAAAACCCCAAAACCCCAAAACCCCAAAACCCCATCAGAAATATATCTTGGTATTTAGTTTATGAAATTAAAAAAATATTTATCATTATTTAGATTCGAAGACCTCATAAACTTCAGTTGCTACGTCATACCTTGGCCGGCATATGTTAAGGCTGGATCCTAATTTTGATAAAAATGCAGAGTTATGTCTGTATCTTTATTCGAGGAAACATGCTTAATTACTCTTGTGCAAAATAAATATGCTAGTACTAACAGTGCAGAAATTAGCTAAATTATTACATGCAAATATGCTAGAATTTATAAACTCCCAAATTTTGGGGTATCCAGTACCAGACTAAACACTTCCCCAATGAGATTTAGTATCATTTTTCATAAGTTATATTAAATCCTTGGATAAAATTTGCATTTTTTCTTAGATGATTTCTTGCTTATCGTTGTCTTGACTTCTGACTAATTCTATCTCAGCTTGTTCACTTATTTCTTCAAATAGTTACTTACCTCTAATTACCTTATCCCATTAATCAAGACCACCATTTGATAATCCATATATTTTTCCAGCCTCCAAATCAATACTCTCTTTCATTAATCTCTCATCTGTATTCTTGTATTGAAAATATTTGAATTTTCTGGAGAATACATTCCCATAGACAATGTTAAATCCTCTTGTCACTATAGTAAACAAATTCTTCTCATAATCTGATTCTGACTTGAATTTTTTGTTTTAAATGCTAGCATCATTGATCTTAACATATTCAATCACAAGATGGCCTCTTGATCCATAATTTTTATTTTCTACCTAATTAGCTGGATTTCTGAAATTAGTCAAAAAACAAATGTCTCCATTTAGCTTATTGTAAGCAAACCAAGTTGAAGATGTTAGTTGATCTATTCCACATATTATATTACTCATGTTCATATCATTTAGGAAATGAGCCTGAATTGATGTTCTGTGTGTGACTTCATCTCTGTTGAATGCAATAATGAAAGGATATTAACTTTCATTGTCGTCTGGTGAACATATTTTGAAAAATGTAATGCACATGATTTATTATAATAAATATATTTCCTATCTTATTATTGTGCCGGATGAATGGGGTTTTGGGGTTTTGGGGTTTTGGGG